CCGTTTGACCCAGCAATTCTACTACTGGGACTATACCCCAAAGAGACCATAACTGCCACCCAAGCAGATCTATGTACACCCGCGTTTATTGAGGATTTTGGTTTTCTTGATAACTCGTAGCACCCCTATGTACAATAGCTCTGAACCTTGTCCTATCCTGAGCAAGTCTCACTGTCTCCAAAAACCTATTCCCATGACCCCAGTCACTGTGTCAATCCATCTCATCTGGAGTTAACTTAGGAGTGGCAGGAAAGCCTTATGCTGAGTGAAAAAATACAGTCTGAGAAGGACAAATACTGCATAAGACCATTCTGTAAAAATAGAAGGATAACTAGTAAAACATGTACAGGAACTGAAGGAATGGGGAGGGGAATAGTGGAGGCGTGAGAATGGGTAGGGGCAAAACCACAGGGCTGCACAATCTGGTAGGCGGAGGGAGGGGAGTAAGCAAATGGGAAGGATCTGGATGAAAAGATAGGGTAATGATGATGGCCAAGGTCCAATGGCAGTCAATTTTATAAAACATAATGCGTAAGAATGATTGTACAAAACACTGTGTGAATGTAGAATAGTGTGAAACACAATGTATATAAACTTCATCAGCAAACCAATAAAAAGAACCACCATGTACAACAGAACGTATATGAATATTGAATGAAACACAGTGTAAACAGAAGATGAATGAAGTGTAATGTAAAGGAATTATTCTATAAAAATCAATGAAAATATTTAAAAAATGGGGAATAAAAACTCTATGTTGGGTGGATGTATATACTTGTGTATTGTTAAGTGCATTTTCCCCCTGACACATAGGGGGAGAGAGCTTTATTTCCAACCATGACCCAGGACAATGACTAGAGACTTTATAGTCCTTTTTGTCAGCAGATCCCACAAAAATTGCTTCCAGTGTCACACCAGGAATACAGGGTCTGCCCTGGGACATCTCTGACTCCACATGGACATGGAGGCTGTGATTCTTGGAATCATGGTCACCTTGGCTCACCTTTGCAGGTTCCATTTCCTCCTCAGTCCTTTCATGTCCTTGTATGGTTTGATTGTGGCTCCATGCTTGTCAACATCTCACTCAGCTTTGTTATATGTTTATAGCAAACCTGTGCCATGGAATGTGATTTCAATCAGCTTCTTGGTGCAAAATCTGACCCCCTAAATCATTTACCTTCCATATGTCTTCTTGTGTCCACTGAACCCATTTCAGATTGACCACCTTTGCTACGTGCAGTGCTTCTCTTGCCTTCCAGCAAAGCTGAGGAGGAATCCAAGTAGCATCTTAATACCAGGAGGAAAATGAGATGCAGAAAGAGGAAGTTATCTGCTCTTGCCTGGCAACTCCTTTTGTTACAGTGACGCCTATCATTCAAATATCTCAATTCCCTTCAATTCTGGCTTTTTGCGGTGCTCTCAAATAAAACAGGCTTGGAAGCAGGAGTGG